TGCTCTGGTTTTGCTATACTTAGTTTGGAGACTTGCCGAGGATTTCTTTGGTGAGAAAATCAGCCTTTCCTACAACTGGAAGAAAATAGACAGTCACCGACGGGAGAAATTACAATACTGGTAAGATAATGTCAAATGACGTAATTATTTTCAATAATAAATCATGCATTTATAATTTACTTCGTACAATTCTCTTTTCTGCTTGAACTTTCAGTAAGGCGTGATATTCTCGGCTATACATAATTAGCGTCTCTCAAATAGTGACCTAGATTCTCATTGGTTGCCAGATTAGCTCATCAATACTGAAATTTACACAGCTTTCATTCACGGGTGAAATACACATGGGGTAAAAATGGGTCAGAGGTCAACGAGTGACGCAAGGAACCAATTACATCGTTTCTTGCAATAAAGAGGTGTGGTTTATGTCATCTCATCGTTTGTTAACAACAATCTAAAGTTATTCATTTCTTAACCAATAAGAATGGTGATCACCATTTGAGAGACGCTAATTATGTATCGCCGAGAATGTCACGCCTTTATGAAAGTTCAAGCAGAAAAGAGAATTGTACTACATCACTGTTTTTACAAAAGCAACGAGGCAGCGATATTCAAATCAGGGAAATACCAACTGTATGTTTGTTTCTTTTCCCTTTTAGCTCATCCGAAGCAAAAGCTCAAGTGAGCTTTTCTGATCAAATTTTGTCTGGCGTCCGTCCAGCTGTCTCTGTCTCTCTGTATGTCTGTCCCTCTGTAAACTTGTCACGTTCACGACGTCTTCTCAAGAACCACTGGGCTAATTTCAACCAAACTTGCTAAAAAACATCTTTGTGCAAAGGGAATTTAAGTTTGTTCGAATAATGGGCCACTCCCTTCTCCAAGAGGAAAATTCAGAAAGAATTAGTAAAAAAAAAAAATTAATGGTTTCTTTTAAAAACCTTCTTTTCAAGAACCACTTTGCCAGAAAACTAGAAAACCTATGTAGAAGTGTCCTTAGGTAGTGTAGATCTATTTTCATATTTTTATTTATTAAAGTCATGGCCTCCGGATATAGAGAGAAGTCACAAAAAGCGATCATAGTTTTTCCTAGGAATGTATAGGGAAAATAACCTTTTTATAACTTGTTTTCAAGAACCATTAGGTCAGAAAAGTTGAATCTTATTTGAAAGCTTCATTTAATAGTGTAGATTCAAGTTTATTCAAATCATGGCCATTGGAAGTAGAGTGGGGCCACAATAAGTGATCAAAGTTTACATGGGAATACATGTATATAGGAAAAAATTCTCTTTTGAAGAACAACAAAGGTATGATTGTTATACTGATAAGCAAACATCGTCAGGACTTATTTCGATTCAAATTTGGTTAAATCATGACCCCTGTGTCCAGGGTTGGGCCACAATGGGCCATCAAAGTTTTACATAGGAATACATAGAAAGAAAAATCTTTGGAAATCTCCTTCTCAAGAACAGCAAAGGCATGATTAGTCATATTGATATGAAAGAATTCTCAGGTAGTGTAGATTCAAGTTTGTTCATATCATGACCCCGGGGGTAGGGTGGGGCCACAATAGGCGATCAGAATTTAACATTGGAATATATAGAAAAAATCTTTAAAAATCTTTTTGCTCTCTCTCTCACAAGAGCAGCAAATACGTGATTAGTAATATTAATACGCTAGCATTCTAAGATTGTAAAGATGCAGGTTTCTTTTTTAAATCATGTCCCGGGGGTAGTGTGGGGCCACAATAGGTGATCAAAATTCTCACTCAGAAATATATAGGAAAAAATTTTTAAATTTAAATCTTCTTTTCAACAACTGCAAAGGACAAGATAGGCTAAGACCCCTTTTTGGCCCCTGGTTTGGGGTGTCTTTTAGAATGATACAACAGTTTATCAATTAAAAACCTGTTGTCATCCCTGCCACAAAATGAGTATTGTTTCTAAGTTATGGGATACACAGAGGTCACAGGAAGGTCAGAAAATATGTAAATTTCCGAATTTTCTCTCTTTTATGCAAATTTTCATCGATTTTACAGCACATTTTGGTTCAGAAAACATAGAGCACAAGCTTGCCTATCTACCAAATTGATATATTTCATACACTAGTATCAGATGCTTCTTATGTATAAAAATCTCAGATAGGCAAGCTTGTGCTCTATGTTTCCCAAAGTGAAATGTATCTCAAATTTGACGAAATTCGGCCAAAATTGAGGAAATTCGGGAAAATATCATACTTCTGCACCCTCTTGTGGCCTCCGTGTAAGCTTTGAATCAAAATTAGTGCTGGTTTTAAAACAAGCATCATTTTAAGTTCTTAACTACAAACTATCACAATTTTAACTGTATTCTGATTTTTACATCAATTAATGGGCCAGATTCGGTCGTTACCATACCTTGTCCTTTATTATTAGTCATTTTATTATTATTAGTCAAATTAGGCGAACAAAGTTGTACACTGGAATATATAGGTAAAAAAAAAAACTGCGGAAGAAAAGTAGAGCCATAGTGACTCAGGTGGACGATATGCCCCATGGGCTTCTATTTTCTCTTTTCTTCAATAAATCGATACACTATGTGACATTTAGAAAAAAGATTAACATTCTTTAACATTAAAATATATCATATTATTTAATTAGAGCTTGCTCAAAATGAGATGTGCAGTAAAGAAACCGAAATAAATGAAAAATTTTCAGTTTGCATCGAACAATTTTCTATAGCCGATCCACTGAATTTCAGATAGGAGAAACTCCCATTTTTAACACCCCCCCCCCCAAAAAAAAAAACATTGAAAACATAGGAAGGCAATTTAAAACGTTAGTTTCTTTACCTTCAAAGTCTATCACTGTGGTGCGATCAGATGCTTTGGAGGATAATGCATATCCTGTCCCACCCGCCGTGAACTTTATAGGAAATAATGAAATGCAGTGGATAATCATAAAAAAAAAATTTTAGCCAAAAAGATCAATGTAATCCATGATTTGGTTTAAGAGACGCAGTTGTTTGTCGCAAAGCAGAGCGACACTTAGCTATCACTTTATCCGGCGTCTGTCTAGCTCTCCGTCTGTTAGACTATCTGTCTGTCACACCTTATATCTCTAGAACTTAAGAGGTATGGATTTGATATTTGCACATATATTGCTTGGCACTATAGCTTTTGTAAAATACCATGGTTACCGACCTAAACCCTTGACATTGAAATACTTTTCAAAATATTTCATAGTGCCGATATACAGCATATATTTTACATTTAAGAGGTAAGGTTATGCTATTTACCATGTGCATTGTTTGTCATAAAACATTATGAAAAATATCTGCATTACAGTCCACTTGACCTTGAACTTTGACCTACTTTGCAAAACATAACCCGAACGCTTTAAGTTAACATACACCCCAACTAATGTTATTGTGATTTAAATTCAAGACATGTGGAGTAGTTGAACCAATCTAAGGTTATAGGGTAGATCCCGTTTTATAAACAAAATTGGTAGTAAACAGGAAATTGCTATAGTCTGTTTCTTTTTTTTTAAAAAAATGTCCTATGAAAGATTTTTGTTTCCTGATCTTCTGAAAAATTTTCATGATTTTAAAAAGGAAAGGAGTATTAAAAATCACAATCGCCAAATACGCTGGTAGAAAAAAATGTATAATATTTTTTTTACTTCGAACATCTGGTTAAGGTCAATCTATGGTCCAATGTTAAATTGACTGCAAAAACCATTTAGAAAATAATATTATTTTATGAAAAAAAAAATACAAAGATTAAAAACTACGTTTGTACTTGTCTTGTTAAATAATAGAATAAAAATTGACATATTGCTTTTTTATCTTTGATCGAAATGCATGGAAAAAATGTTCATTGTGCCTTTCTGATCGCCTGTAGATTTGATTTTTTCTAAGCGTAAAAATTACTGTACTGTATTGTACATGTAACCCATAATGCAATTCAATTCATTCAGCTGATTTGTCAGCTTAAGTCATGTCATTTGCTAATCTGTTGCCAAAAATATACTTCCAGTTCACGTGCAAGTATGCTTGTCCAAAAAGAAATTTTAATACATAACTGCAGAAAATAACGTCAAAAAGAATTACTTATTGAAGTTTAAATGAATTCAAGAGAAACTGGAGTACATTTCTCCTGATATAATACAGTGGTGAAAACTGAAACGCATCATAATTTTTCTGCTTACCAAGTCTCCACGTGCTAGTCACTTCCTAGCCATATTTCCGTGAATAATTTACCTTACATGTATCTCGCTGTAGTCTCGCTAAATCTCGTCGGAGCTACTGCGAACTTCTCGGGTATTATAATTTATTTAATCCTCATGACAAGACCTTCCTTTAGATACCAACGAATTTGACCCTTTGAACTTGCCCTTGGAGTTTGACCTACTTTAAAAAAAAACTTTAACCTTGGCCATAACATTTGAACGGTTAGGGCTTGGGCTTTCATACTTCACATATGTAATCCTTGTAACAAGACCTTCCATTAGATACCAACACTTTCACCCTTTGACCTTGACCTTGGAGTTTGACCTACTTTTAAAAACTTTAACCTTGGCCATAACTTTTGAACAGGTGGTGCTAGGGCTTTTTTATTTCACAAGTGTATTTCTTGTGAGAAGGCCTTACTTTGGGTACCAACATATTTGATATGCATTTGAGAAAGTTTAACATTTGCTATAAGTTGCCATACGGGCATCAGTGTTTCACAAACACATCTTGTTCTTTGAAGGCAAATGCATAAACTATAATGCTAGATTTGAAAATACTGTAATTTCTTGCAGTATTCTGTTTTCAAACACTATTTCTCAATTCATTTAAACTTTTTATAGGACAAGGATGGTAATTGCTGTGCTGCTGGCTGTAGCTGCAATAGCTTATATCATCATTTTCATCGCTCTAAAGACACCTAGAAATCTCATCTCTCTGGCAGGACTTGCTGCTTACATTATTTTGTTTTACTTGTTTTCCCATAATCCCTCAAAGGTACAGCTTACATAAATAATGAACGTAATATTTTCATTTTTTTCAATGTATCATTCTTAGACCTATCTAGTTCTACGACCTTACAATTTTGAATTGAATAGAAAATAGAGTCATGTTGTAATGCACGATTTAACATGTGTTTGATTCAATTCACCCTTGCATGGCTAAAAAATGATTTGAATTTATTTAGTTGCTCAAGGAAAATCTTGGGCCGAGTAAGCAATATCGTAATCAAATTGTAGCAGATATTATACTTAATTATATATATGTAAATGTGATTAATTTTGGTTTGTCATAGGTGAACTGGCGACCAGTATTTTGGGGGACCATAATACAGTTTTATTTTGCCCTTGCCATTCTACAGTGGAGTGTGGGCTACGAAGCCTTTAAATGGTTGGGTGACAGGGTCACAGAATTCCTGGCCTACACAGACAAAGGCGCAGCGTTTGTTTTCGGGGACAAATTCCAAGATCACTTCTTTGCTTTTAAAGTGAGAAATAACATCAAAAGTACTTCACTTTGTATGAATTGGTTCTTACAAAACATGTGTATTGAAAAATATTTTTTTTTCATATTTTGGCTAGATTTTCCTGTTAATATGTATTTATATAAGGATAAAAGACGCTGTGTAACATAATGTGACTTCCGAATTGATTTCAGGTTCTTCCCGTCACTGTGTTCTTCAGTAGTTTTGTTTCTGTTTGTTACTACTTGGGTATTATGCAGTTCATTATTCGGAACCTCTCTAGATTTATCAGCAATGTTATGGGGACTTCTCCAGCAGAATCTCTAAACGCTGCTGGAAACATATTTGTTGGACAGGTAAAGTCAATCAACAGTCTAAAATGTGTATTGTAGAGGCTCCAAGGGGAAAATTTAAGCATTATGTCCTAGAAGAATCATTACTTGACAGATTCTAGGCGGTGAGTAGGTAAAATACGGGAAAATATAACGAAAACAGAGGTTGAAGCGAAGAAGGGGTCCAATATGGCGTCCTCCCTTGTGTTGTTTTAGTATTACCGTATATGATTTTTTTTAAAATAAACAATTATTACACGCCGGGAGCAAGCCCCTGTGCACCAGATTAATACAACAGGGTTCTAAAAAAACCATGACAACAAAAACGACGACAATGAACACATTTCGAAAAAAGCTTTCTCGATCATTTGATTATTAATCTTTGCATCAACGTTCTGTAGGTGTAATAATCGAAGTTTCTTTTGCTAGAAACACCTTCCATTATAACAACGAAATTTTTCACACATGGAGATCGTTTAGAGGTCTTTGTGCCATATACAAGTTGTCCAATTTCTTTGCAATCCCTGAAATTCCTGAAAACTGTGTGTAAAGGTCAAAGGGATATTTCAAATGAAAAACCTAAGTACTACCACATTTCATGGTGATCCGTTAAGATCACTGAGCGGTCTCGGCCACAGGTACTTGTGGACAGGTCCCCCCTTCCATAATCAACCCCGAGGTTTGTTGACATATTTTTTTCCTCAAGTTATATTTATTACACTTATTCATCATGTGTACCATAGGAAAAATCGTGAAAACCCCAAAATAATCGTTCCACACAAAAATACCCCACTAAACATTATAAGACAGAAAGGTATGCCACTCCGGTTTGTTTATGTTGTACCCCACTGGTCTTTCTGGGTTTAAAATCATGTATTTATTTTATTTTAACCTAAAATGTCGGTTCACACTGTCTCTACATGTATTTTTGTCTTTGTTCATGCTATCGGATTGACTCTGCATCTCGTAAGAATCCCACAATTTCTCCTTAAACAGCATTGCAGTCAGTGCGTTGAAAAATTCCTAAGGTAAACGCAACGGAAGTACACCAAGAATGTATCACTTATTACGATAATGTCCGAGGGAGTTGACATAATAATCTCTCTCGGGTGTTATCATAATAGGTAATATATTCTCCATGCACTTCCGTTGCGTTTACCTAAGGATTTTTCAACGCATATAAAGAGCGCACACTGAAAGATTGCTCAGAGACTGATGGTTAAATTGTTTACATTGAGAAATGTTAATGTAACGGGTATTACTGAGAGATCGATTGCAACCAAGAAATATCACTATTACACCGACCACTGAAATATCCTTAAGCTTCCTGTTTCCATGGAATCAGCGGGTATTTTAGGGGTAAGCGACCGATTGTACAGGGAACAAATTAATTCTGTAATGCATGCTCGGCAAGCTAAACCTTAACAACGGTTTCCGTCTCTGTGTAAGGAGAGATTTACAATGTGCATACAGAAAAGGATTAAAACTTCCTTTGCATGGAAGTGGCAACCATATGAGACTGCTGAGCATACAAAATTGGGTAGACCTTACAAGAATTTATCCCTCCTTGAAGTTGTTTTGCCCTGTCATCACCATGGTCTCTAAGGGCTTTCCAAAGTTCTGTACAGTATTTATGGTCTCCTCAAAGTGTTGTTTCTACCAAAAGCAGTCCATCAACAATTGTCAAGGTAAGCAGTCACTCAAAGAACTTCCAAGGGTAAACCATTTGATCTCTTTGATCTGTCAATGATCTCTTAGAGGTCTTTCAAAGAACGCATGACATTTTTAAGATAAAGATGTATGAGAGATCATAAAATGAATCTCATAGACCAGCTGAGCTTATTGAGACTACATCGAAGATAAATATTAGACCATCTTCTGCTTTAGAGATTATTTAGAGAGCTTTATGACCGGTGCTAGGTCTCAAATAGACCACCATTAGACATATTATGCTCTACAATTATTACATTTACACAGAAACAGGCTCTTTGGGGCTTTGAGAGATTGCTGAGGGCTGGAACAGACAAATTTAAACTGCGCAAAGGTCTTTCAACCAACTCCATGTGTGTAAAGGCGCCTAACGTACAGTTATGTTATTTTGATTTCAGGTATATTGTATAAATATAGCATTTTCATATTATTTTACAGAGTGAGGCCCCATTGATGATTCGCCCTTTTCTAGCCAAGTTGACAAAGTCAGAACTACATGCAGTTTGTACAGGGGGATTTGCTACAGTTGCTGGAAGCACAATGGGGGGATATATAGCTTATAATGTATGTCTTAAGGAAAATAAGCTGAAAGTGTATTTCATTAACGCAAATAAAAAAAAATGTTAAGATCACAGTAAAAGTGAACACAGTATGAACACGTTAATAAAATTATATCAACACCCCCAATTTTATTTTTGACTATATTACCAGGTACCAGCTAACCACTTGCTCTCTGCCTCTGTAATGTCAGCTCCTGCTGCTCTTGCAATGGCAAAGCTGTTTTATCCGGAGACAAGAAAAACGAAAACCGGAAGTGAAGTGTACAATATTCCATCTGGGTTCGTAAACATATTGATAGTGACGCTAATTCAAAATATATCTGAGTCTCTAAAGGAAATATAATAACTAATTCAAAAAGTTGTATTCTATAATTTTTTTCTAAGCCAGGAACGTAATGTGATAGAAGCAGCAGCTAAAGGTGCCTCGCAGTCTATTAAACTGGTGGCTAACATTGCTGTTAACCTTGTGGCCTTTATTGCTTTGGTGGAGTTCTTGAATCAGACTCTCATCTGGTTCGGTAACAGAGCGGGTATGGAGAAACCTCACAAAGAACTTACTTTTCAGGTATATTGATTAATTCATCTTTACCATGCAACTACCTTTGTCATGGCGCCTATGTCATGGCGGTCTTAAGGGTTTATTTGAAAAGATCCATGACTTTCTCTTGCTGACACCTAGCAAGTGAAAACACGATCATGAATCTATTTCATATTTTTCTGATTTTTTTAGTACAGTAATCTATATCATAATTTTTGTTTTCTATTCAATAAAATCAGAGGTGACATGAAATAAGACGAGAAACATTTACCCCATGTGCTCACTCAATGAAATTCTTTTTCAGGGCTTTGTTTTTTTTGTAGCAAGGAAGAGACTGGCATTCGTATTTTAATCTAAACAGTAGTTGTCTTGTCTAGTCTACCGAGAATATTGAATATTCAGAGACTCTCTCTTACAAAAAGGGTTGAATCTGCTCTATAATATCAGATTTAAATGAAATTTATTGAAAAGCTAGGCGTTTTCATTCCATGACCATTTTATCATAAACTTTTTAACGTTTATTATTATTTTCGCAATATTTTGCAATATTTTATGTATTCTTCAGTAGTATAAACAACAGATCTAAAGAATGACTATTAAGTTTGCCAGTCATTTTTATAATTTTTTCCAGTTAATTTGTTCTTACATCTTTTATCCGCTGGCTTTCCTGATGGGTGTCGACACACAGAACAACAATATTTTCAAAGTTGCCGAGTTGATAGGATACAAAACATTCGTAAACGAATTTTATGCGTATGGAAAGTTGTCGGTCTACATTCACAACAGGGAGAATCTCACTTGGTACGAAAACCTGCCTAAAAATGATTCCACGTTCACCGGTAGATGGCACTATAGCGGAGATGACATTGTCTACGAGGATTTTGATCATATACTGGAGAAAGGACTTCTCACAGTGCGTTTTCTTTTCTATATATCTATATTTTTAAAAAGATATATTCCTAAGAAAACTTTGATCCATCATTGTGGCTCCACCCTACCCCTTGGGGTCAAGATTTGGAAAAAAAAAGTACCTGAGGTTGCTTCTATATCAATATGACTATTCATGGCTTTGCTGTTCTTGAGAAGAAGATTTTTTAACCATATATATTCCTCTGTAAAAGACGATTCCCACTGTGGTTCTACCCCTATCCCAGGGGTACATGATTTGAACAATCTTGAATCTACACTACCTGAGGATGCTTCCTTATCTATGTGTCTGATCATGGCTTTGAAGTTCTTGAGAAAAAGATGTTTTAAAGATTTTTCCAATATACTGTATATTCCTATGTAAAACTTTAATCCCGTTTGTGGCCCCACTCTACTCATGGGTGTCTCATGATTTAAACAAACTTAAATCTACATTACCTGAGGAAGCTTCCATATCAATATGATTAATCATATCTTTGGTGTTCTTGAGATTTTTTCCAATATATTTCTGAGTAAAACTTTGATCTCCCACTGCGGCCCGACCCTAATTCAAGGAGTCATGATTTCATCAAATTTGAATCTACATTACTTGAGGTTGCTTCGATCCATATAAATATTATTAATCAAGGCTTAACTTTTCTTGAAAAGAAGCTTTTTTAATATTTTCCCCCATATATTTCTACGTAAAACTTTTATTGCCCATTATGGCCCTCACCCTACTCCTGGGGGTCATGATTTGGGAAAAATTGGGTCTTCACTACCTGGGGATGCTTACATATCAAAATGTTGTTCTTCTTCAGATTTTTAAAACTATATACATGTAGTCCTCTGTTTGATCTCCACTGTCGACCCCTTCTACCCCTAGAGGTAATTACTTGAGTAATCTTGAATCTTCACTTCCTGAGGATGATTCCAAGTCAATATGACTTATCATGGCTTTGCCGCTCTAGAAAAGAAATTTGAAACTTTTCCCCAAATATTCTTTTGTAAAAGATTGATCTCCCATTGTGGCCAGACAGCCCCGGAGGTCATGATGTGAACAACTTAAATCTACACTACCTGAGAATGCTTCCATATCAATATGAGTAAGGCCAACTTTAAAATGATGTTTGTTTGCCCTCTTCGGACTCAGGGTGAAAACAGTGGATCGGTAGGTAGGTGGGAAAATTTTTTCTCCAGAAAATTTCAACATTTATGCTGAATTTTCAAAATTTATTTTTCGGGATGCATAAAAAACTAATTGTTTCCTGGAGGTTAAAAAAAGTTTCGAGTTGGGCCATTTTGAGCCAGTCGGTCTGGAGAAGGCAACAAAACATTTTTTTAAAGATGGCCTTATCATGCCTTTTCTGTTCTTGAGAAGATTTTTAAAGATTTTTTTCCCATATTTCCATATTCCTATGTAAAACTTTGATCCCCCATTGTAGCCCCACCCAACCCCTTGGGGTCATAATTTGAATAAATTGAAATGTACACTATCTATTGAAGATTTCGCCTAAGTTTCAACTTTTTTGTCCCAGTGGTTCTTGAGAAGAATATTTTAAAAGATGCCGCAAAATTTTCACTTATTCTTAATTATCCCCACTTGAAAGAGAGCGTGACCCTTCATTCAAATAAAGTTGAATCCCCATCACCTAAGGATACTTTGTGGCAAGTTTGGTAGAAATTGGCCCAGTAGTTCTGGAGAAGAAGTCTAAAATGTGAAAAGTTTATAGACGGACAGATGAACGGACAGTCAAAAGACAGACAAAATGCGATCAGAAAAACTCGCTTGAGCTTTCAGCTTAGGTGAGCTAAATACTCCGATATAATTCATCTCATTAAATTTCGTAAATGTTCTTTGGGTATTTTCATGATGTATTTGTCTGTTTTTAGACATCTGAAAAAAGCAAAAACTAGTTTTCAGATATTTTGGTATTTAGGAACGGTCCGTCGTTATCACAACGTATGCCTTGTGTGGATTTGCGAACATAGCATCCATTGGCATAATGCTTGGGGCCCTGGGTGCGATGGCGCCGAACCAGAGGTCAGCATTAGCCCAAGTTGTGGTCAGGGCCATGATTGCAGGAACCGTAGCCTGCTTTATGACAGCGTCCATAGCAGGTAAGTATCACTGACGTAATGTAACTTACTCTTTATTGAGAATGGTTATATAATGAAAAAGTATACTGCTAACCAGAGATATGCCTGTTGAATGAAAATGATTCCTTTTTTCCAGGTCTGTTATACGTGCCTGAAGAATGAGCATTAATATCAAGGAGTTACATTTCATTGGAAATTTTAAAAATCTTACATATCCATTTGCTTTTGCATGAAAACATTATACTTCACATAGATTTTTTGTACATGTTAGAGAAATTTCAAATAGTATTTATTTCTATATAATATAGAATTGAGTATACTGAACCTGTTTCTGAAGAAATCTTTTTTTTTCAATCAAATGCAACTTTTGATTGTACATGTTCTTATTTTACAATATTATGTAAAAATGTCCATTGTTATCCTTGCATGTCCCCATTATACCGTCATTACTTAGTCTCCCGTTTAAATTTTATTTTTTTTTCTTTTTGGATATTCAATGATGTAATCTTTTTACACATTCAAAATCCAGATGACCAAGCAATAATATGAAGTTAAATAGTTTAAATTTGAACATCAAGTCTCTAAAGCCTCGCGACTTAAACCTGATATATAAGGATTTACAAAAGATAACAATGAATTTACTTGTCGGCAGACTTATCGACCTTATTTCCAACTTTAAGTCAAGGCTTATGATCCCACAGGATGATATACTACCACTAGATTATTAACTGTCAAATGTATTAGGATTATCTCTCTCTCTCTCTATATATATATATATATTGAGGACTGCATTGTTGATTCCCTTTTTCTTTCTTTGCTTTACTCATGAGCATGTATATGAATTTTTCATATAAAAGCATTACTGAAGTTTACGAAGAGTTAATCTCTTTTCTTAGCTATTGTCTTTACTACGTAATGCAGTTTTATGTGGCTTTCGTAATCAAGAAAGAAGAACACTTTTCAATGACACATCATTATTCATTATAACTTTGAAAAAGTACTTAGATCCTGTAATGAGACAGTTATACTCGCACCTGCTTGTTTTCTTCGTACCTTGATAACTTTGGACACAGTTGTTGTTATTTTACAATTTACAGATATATACATATACCAAAATGGGCATAAAATGCTTAGTTGTTCATGTGATAAGTGGGCCTCTTACTTAGTATTTCATATAATAAACTTATTACTAGACTGAAATGATTTTCTGGTTTTTCTTCCCGATCATGACAAGGAGCACACAGCGGGTGTGACCGGTTGGCAGGGTATGCTCACTCCTCCATGGCACCTGATCCAACCTCTGATGTTTTTGGAGGTCCGTGTTTGCTCCTTTCCAGATTTATATTGTCTAAATGGCCTTTAAGCTGGAAAACTGTTCGTTATCTCCACATTTCATTAAAGAAATTAATGATGCATCAGTTTATTTCATAACGGAGTTTTGGAAAGTATGTTTAAAAAAAATTATCAACCAAAATTGGCATCATGGATATACTTACGAAAATTATTCTCAGGACACTACCAATGATATATGTTTTTTTTTTTTTTTTTTTTTTTAAAGATTTCACTACAGCGATAATGTAAGAGAAGTTCTCGAAAACAGAAATAAGTTGGAAAAATATTCCTTGATTTCGATCACCAACTGGCCTCCCAGATGAAAATAAAAATATTCGAAACCGTTTTTGCACATCTACAGGATACGGACAGGATATTCCAAAAAATGATTTGCTTATTAATAATATAAGACGAGTTCTGATGATACGATTAAATTTGTCAAAAACGTTGGTTGATATACATGTATTATTTTCTATCACTTCCACGTCACGGTAGCTCAGAAGGTAGAGCGCTTGCTCCGTGATCGGTAGGTCGTGTGTTCAAATCACGGCCGCGATTGACCTCAGTCAATAAAAAATAGGTAGCAACTGTTCTTCCGCCAAGCGCTCAGCACTCTGAGGTGAAAGTTACGAGAGAGAGACTCCCGTCCCGCCTCTCTCTCTCCCACTCCCCTCGCTCCACTATCTCTCTCAGTCTCTCTCCCACACGTCCTCTTAGTCCCCCTCTATCTTATTTAGCCCCTCCCTCGCCCTCTATCTCACTCACTCAAGCACTCTTTCAACATCTCCCCCTTTTCACTATCACTACATGTACCCCATCTTTCTCCCCTCTCTCTTTCTCCCCTCTATAATGAACTTGATGTCTGATTGAAATGATAAAATATTTCGGAAAACAATTACATGTATAACATACGCTACCATGGGAAATTAAAACATTGAAAATTAATAGTTTTAATCATTCTTTTGGATCACGCGTATATTACTATTATAATAATATGTCTTAGAGCAATTAAAAGGTGAAAAAAAAACATTCAAATAGTAGAGAAACAAATCTAGTAACATCTTATAACGAAGAAATGTAACATTACTTATTGGTTGCTATGGCAATAAATCCATGAAGGGATTTAATACATTTCGTGATTAAAAGGTACATGTAACTAATTTTGACGGGAAAAAAAATGGCATGACTGGACTACCATGAATACTAGAAGGGAAAAGTAGAAGTTCAAAATTTCAAAGAAAAAAATACGAAAACACACAACCAAGAAATTGCAAATATTTATTTTATTAAAAGACAATTTGTAATAAAATACAGATTTTTGAAAGGAGAGAACAACGGAGCTTTTGGACACCTCTAAATGGATGTTTCATTTACAATTTAGATATTTTTTTGGACAAGGAACCCCCATCCCTGATCACTGACGGGATGGGTGTTCCAAAGTAATACCCATTCCTGATTACTGACGGAATGGGTATTTAAAGGACCGAAAGTTCCGAAAGATGTGAACATTTTTGAAAAATGAATTTTGTCCGCCATGCCAGCGTTTCAGATCTGTCTCCGAGGCCAACATTTTGGAAATTCAATTTCCACCCCCACCCCCCCAAAAAAAAGTATGAGCCGAAAGAAGAAAGAAAATCAATTATTAGCCAAACAAAGATTTGCAGCAAAAGAGCTCGGGTGTTCCCTCTTTGGTTCCAATCGTTTTCAAATTAAAATTTCAAAATAAATTGTCCAGATTGTTTATATTAATATTATCAGGGGTATGAAATAGATTTAATCGGCAGTAAGGTTGACGTATTTCTCGAGCCTCTCCATTTCCTTGTGGGCGACATCGATCTCTTTCTGGAAACGGGCTTCCTCTCGATTCTGTTGAGCCCGCTCCTGTTTCTCGGCCTGTGCCTTCTCCTGAGACTCTGTTAAACAATGAAAAGAGGCTTACTCATCAATCTTGAAAATCGTTTTTTATAGTACTTGCATAGGAAATGCTTATCATTTTTGCAAGATTCATCAATACTAACAACTGAAATAAACAAGAACAATGAATATTAAAGTCCAGGGCTAAACCTTCCTGATAGCCAGGAAGACAGGTCCCAGAGAAGAGCCGAGTGGGTGGGTAAATTAAATTATTTCTCATTTCCTTGTGTGATGAATTGCTTAATAAAAACACCCAACCTAACCATTTATAATACCTGCTTTAGAGTTTAAGCAAATACTACATGTTAATTCGAAAGCGTAAATAAATACTTAATAGTATAAACTTACCTCTCCATTTTTCAAAATCCTCCTTTTTATTTTCAAGCAATCTTGGTGGAGGTATCTTTGGAGTTTCTTCAGAGACAAATGTAAGATCAAAGGCCACACCACCTTTCCTTTTTGTCACTTCCTCTGTAACCATTGTTTTCCGTACTTTCTCGTACGCCTCCATCTCTTCTTTTGCGACACCAACTTTGTTATTTCTGGCAAAACAGCTCTGAAGGAGACCCATGGTCTTTTTAGAGCAGAAATGACCGTATCTAATAACAGGGTTCCGCTGTGTTACTATTTGTGATGTCATAATAATGTATTGATTATGACGTCATGAATAAAGTCCTGATATTTAGTGGTGGCAAAATGAGTTTGTCAGACTAAATTTAAATGTGTACATATGATACAAATTTTTAAAAAATCATTAAAATAAAACCTCTAGAAAATTATATGCAAAAACATTTTAGTAAACGGGGACGTAAACGTATTTTTTTTAGTTAACTCACGGTTGGTTTCTTGTAACAGATAGAGTGAGAACCCACATTTCCCGTAAAAGTAGTCCAAAGTTATGTACAAAATAAATCATTCACTGTAATTAAGAATTATTTATTTTGTAAGTACAATGGTAAATATATATTTGCCAATATGTTTTCGAAGACCTTGACCTTTGGTTTACATTTTTAAAGAAAGGGAATTTAAAAAATAACAGAAACAAACAACAAACAAGCAATAAAACCAATTAGTGAACTTTCGGGAGATTAATGTACATTGATTTTTATAATTTTTATATTAAGTTTAAAATATTAGTTCAACAGTTGTAATATCTTTGAACTCGAGAATGACTATGAGTCACGGTATTGAATGATACACCACGTATCCAACGTCAAGAAGTTCTCTTTGTTTTTAAATCATTGGAACAATTAAGACATTACAATTCATATTTCGAGGAGACATTGCAATATTATTTGTGGTAAAAACAATACATATAATAACAAGAAAACAAAAAAGCAGGTCACAAGGATTTCTGTACTTCAGTCAGATACATGTACCCTACATTAGGACAATGGACTACGTTTTGACCCCCCCCCCCCCATTTCAAAAGTGTTTACAGCAAAACAAATTAGTATTGTATAAATGATATCATAATTAAATACCAGATTTGTGTTGAATTCATTCAAAAGTTACTTGACATTGGGATCTTATATGCATCGATTTATTAAAATAATCATGTTCAATTGTATATATGTTGTACATTGTAGAACAGACATTTGCTAAGTAGGGAAAAAAGTTATTTAAAATTGTATTTTAAAAAATTATGTAATAAAGTATTTTGAAATTCAATAATAAAAAATTGTTCTTTTAAGTGTTGGTCACAAAGGTAATCAAAAAAATCTGCGGATTGAATCGAAATTGTAATTCCGTCGAATTATGACCCTTTTGAAAAAAAAGATGATGTCAGTATAAGATTTTCAGTCATAAATATATTGGAATATTTCTATCATATTAATAAATTTAAATTAGAATTCTTCTTGAAAGATAACTCTTCCAATATACGGATAAAGTCTGTTCAGACTTTATAACTATATACTCAAATATATAGTTAATGACTATAGGGATTACGTGTCTGAATTTCAAACTTTGAAATTTCAAAAGTTTATATCTCGTGTGTCCTTATTCCGCATTTACAGCTGCTGGTATCATTTTGAGCAAAATTTGATCAGATTCTTGATTCTTCGAATAGAGATCGAGATTTCACTCCTCCATAAGTACACTGTACTTGCATCAGCTCATTTGTAATGTTTGAAATCGGATATGGAAGTCATATACGTCAATCCATTTCGTCCCATAACTGCTCGGCTGCCATGGAAACAATTCGAGTCTATATGGTGACCACTGTGATGTTGGTTACATGGAAATCTCGGCATGCCCCAGCAACATGCGTTCTTTTCATGTGTGCTTTGAGGCCTGCCTTTATGAGACTATTACGTAGTTTTCTCTCATCTGCAATTCTGGCATTGCAGCGTCCAGGAAAATACTAGCAGTTTCACTTGCAAATTGAAACATGCTTCGTCGGTGGATTAAACGGATCTCTTTGCCCGGAAGTTCTGCCCCCTGAAGACTTCCGCTTTTGAACGGTCTTGAACGCTTCCTGCTAACGATAGTCTTCTTTCTAGCCGCGATGCAGAGGATTGGGGCACATTAAATTACTCAGCAATTTCATACTGATTGTTTGAACATATTTTATTGTATAGATAATATACAAATGGTTCGAACACAAGTTCTAACAACTTACGAGGTTTTCACCATAAATGGCTACAACTGTCAAAGTCTATATAAAGAAAAAAAATATATTGATATACAAACATGTTTGTTTTAAACATACATTCATTACACGATAAATATATAACTAACTAGAGTTTTAGTGTTAGGCTGTAGTAATTAATTGAATATGCCAGAATCTCTTATAAATTTTTGTACAGATTGAAAAATATATTTATTGATTTCGACATTATGACTCATCTCCCCACAGAAGTAGGTGACAATCAATAATATTTATTTGAATTTCATACTGATCGTGTGTTTGCATTAATAAACCAATAACCAGACCTCTTAAAATTTTAGTAAAACGTGGCATTTTTAGGGTCAAAATCTGTTCAAATTCTCACCGGGAATTTTCAGAAAAATCACTGGAGATTAATGCAAATATGGTTCAATTCATCCAAAATGCCATCTACAAGTAAGGTTTTCAACCCGAAGCTAAAAGGCAAAGTACTCGTGCTAACGTGGAGCACGCCAAACTTTTCTATTGCATATCCATTTCTTAAAGCCCAAATAAATTCAAAATTTTATTAACCATGATAAGACACAATTGTAGTAGGCCTACTAAATATGCGTTTCTTTTTTTTCCTTTCAGTATATTTATACTTTTGACAAAACTAGAAAATGAGCAATGAACAATTTCTCAGGTTAGCGATGTGGCCGGTAGGCTACTTGTTTCACTGAACGAGCTAAATTAAAAGATTTGGTTTCAACCATATAGTGTTGCCCCTTTCTATCTGTCTGTCGTTTCATCATGTCGAAGAGTTTTCTAAAACCCTTTTCTCTGCTTGCAGGTAGTACCCATTACTGACTATATTTAATAGTGATAAGTATAACTTCACAAAAAATTATTTATCATTACAGAACAATCGAGTCAGTTTTCTTAATTGTCATACACTCAATCATCATCTCATGAAAATGATAGATTACATAGATACCACCACCAAGTAAGTTAAAAACAGCAGCATAGAAAAATTATTTCCGATGGCAAATTAACTCCAAGGTGATTTACATGTACATGTATATTCAACACACCATCGAAAATGTTCTAAGGCACAGGGAGTCCTCTAAGGATTGCTTAACATGGGACAGCCAATGCGGTTATTCAGAATTTTTTTGAATGCATTGCACTGCAGCAGGAAGAAGCACTATAATGCAGTTGCCACTTGGTGTATAAGACGTACATGTACCATATGGGATGTCTGATTAAAAAAAAAATTCAAAAGCCTACAATGATGCTAATGCTAATGGACATCAAAGTCAAACATAAATTCTTTTTTACTTAATTATTTTGGCAGTCGTATTAGATATGACTCAAACGGAGATAACTCTTCTTTAAAAAAAAATAAAATAAAAAAATGCAAGTATTTCTAAGTTTCAGTGTGTAAAAATTTTTTAGCACCAACATGTAACATGTAATTATCCTACTGCATGAATATGATTGTTAAATTCCCTATCTTTACCTTAAAATATGACATTTTAAAATTTAAATGTCGAAAACCAATTCTAAATTTATCTGATTTCATGTACCTATTTTTCAGTCACGTCTATATCAAGAGTTATTTCTCTTCAATAGGAAATTATTTTTTTTTCCTGTTCAAAATCAAATTCATGATATACAATATCTATAAATCTTGTTGTCTCAATTTGATTTTAAACACGAGAATCGAGGAGATGAACATTATGTTTTTTTTTTTCTCACAAAAAACCGACACAATGACAGCATCATGGTGAAAGGTGTTTATGTATAAGGGATGCCTTCTTGGTGGGCCGAAATAGAAAAAAATATTTAGAAAACTATTTCCTCGTGAGGATTTGTTATATCTTAGAGGCCTTTTGTGAAAATTTTATTGAAGTGCATTGTACTTCATGTATGACCCCCCCCCCCCCCCCCGTCTGGTTTTCTCATAGAACCTCTGTTAACAAAGCATGTGTGGAATGTGTGGAATATTAGTTATGTCACTACATGTATATATAAATAAAATGTAATAAGTTAAATGTGGAAACCAGAGTATCTACTTGAGTTATCTTTCTTTACCAGTGATGAAGCGAAAAAAAAATTAATTAAAATGATCAAGGTAAAGAAGGTAAAGTCTTCAAGATTATCCTTGGCAAAACGTTGGCAGAGGAAATTAATGAATAAGATAATGATGATAATGCGATTTGATAAAGCTTAGGTAGCAAAAAAAAAATAATAATAATCACATCGGTCTCTCTGATTTTTACTCAGACTGTCCACGGTTTTTGAGCTTGAGGACAGGACCCCTCCCCCAACCCCCACCCCGATATAGTCCTCAGGGTCATTTTGACTTTTTTCTCATAAAGTATCTTTCAATGTCCTATTTGTGATATAATACATAGGATCAATTCGAAATATTACCGGAAAAATTATAAATTTTCTACCCCACTTCCTACATACAAATGATTATATAGAGAGGGTAGAAATTTTGTTTATTCAAAGCACATTGTTTGCCTCTTTATTATTGATTTAAATTATCAACTAACCCGTCCAATTATTCTTCGCAAAAACATGCATGATGTACGATACGTATATATAAAACATAAAAGACGACTGGACCACACAATGAGTTCTACTCTAAACTTTCTGGATTTAAGACTGAGCCAAGATTTAAATATACTTATATTTTTACATAAATATTTGAAATAAACAGTTTTGTTCACAAACCTGTAAAATTTTACATGAACATTTTTTCGATTAAAAATGCATGTTTGCCAACCTGCCGTGTGTTTAAATCATACAACTGATCACCCAGAATGAAACCAAATTGTAAATAGTCCGAAATATACTAGTAATTAACTTAATTTCACCATCAAATATTCATTTACAGACTTAGTTCTTGAAAATTGGACTCCCTCTGTTAAGTGATGGGTTTTCTCAGCATGGCGTTAATGAGATTTCTCTAAATGATTATATGAATGGCAGCCTCTTAATCGTCATTTTTTTTTCTTCAATTTTACAAGCACTCTGTATTACCGTGAAATACTTGTATGATGTAATATTTGGATTGCACGAAAAACAGAAATTATCCAACATGAGAGGCACTAGAGACCTAATAATGAGTATCATGTAGCTACAGATAGTAAATAACACATCTTATACAATGCATTAATTCTTATCTAATGTCGTTTAATCTAAAAATAAATAAATAAATAAATAAGCTAAGGAACACAATAATTCACACAGAATGAAGTGCAAAATATTTATATTTTTCACTGCGTAATTGAATAATCCTTTTTCTTATTGCTAGTGACCTGAGTTGACCCCGATTCTGCTGTTCATTGGAAATGGACACTGACCAATATATATATATATATATATATATATATATATATATATATATATATATATATATATATATATATATATATATATATATATATATATATATATATCTCACAGATCCACAACTCTCTCCAACGTTCAAGTGGTTGTGGATTATAGTTTTCCTCTTTATTTAGTCATCCAAAATGAGCATGTTTTAATCCCCCTCCATTAGACATAACAATTATACTATTCATTATGGAGGGAGTATAAAAAGAAACATCTGCAAAAGAGGGTATTAATCAACCCCTCGAAATTTTAGTTTTCTTTGAATTAAGTGTACGGGATTTTTTATGTGTGTCAAGTACATGCATCTTAAAGATAACTGCCTGGTAATGTTTTTCCTACATCTTTTGTTCTTTTTAATGGTAAATTAACATTTGCAGATAAGTATTTAATGTAATGTGGAGAGATTAGGATATATTATAGTACTATCTTTTTTACACCTCTTTGACGAGTCCATCCTGAACGCATAAATCAAGTTGAAAGTTTTCCCTCTGCATGTGAGAAAAATGAGAATTGAATTTTGATTCTGAAGAAAAAGAAGAAGATGGGAACAAAAATTGGGGTGCAGCATTGGCTTGGATTACAATGTAAGTTAAAATTCTGAATATCAAAGATGAGGAAAATGTATTTTAAAATAAAGTTTTTTGTGGGAAATTATAACTATGCATACAAAGTTGATTTATGAAAGCAAAACATCCATGATTTTAAGAACTGCAAGTAACAATGACGTAGCGTTTCGTTGAGTGGCAGAAAACTATCACGTTTCTTGACGTCACAAAGGTCGTGATGTAATTAATTAAGAATATTTTCTTTATTATGACGTCACAGTAGTATATCAGTAACAGCTTTGTTGTTAGATACAGCCATTAATACTCTGAAAATACCATGGGTCTCTTTCAGAGCTGTTTTGCAAGAAATAACAAAGTGGGTGTCGCAAAAGAAGAGATGGAGGCGTACGAGAAAGTACGGAAAACAATGGTTACAGAGGAAGTGACAGAAAAGAAAGGTGGTGTGGCCTTTGATCTTACATTTGTCTCTGAGGAAACTCCAAAGATGCCTCCACCCAGATTGCTTGAAAATAAAAAGGAGGATTTTGAGAAATGGAGAGGTAAGTAAATCTTGTTAATATAAATAAGAGTTGTTCATTTTCCTCAGAATCTCGGACTACCTAAAGATATGCATCATGTATTTAAGTCAGTTTAGCGGAAAGAAGTAAATTTGGGCAAATTTTTTTTTAAAGAAATCCATATCACTTTTCCAAGGTTAACCCTGTTTTAGAGATAAAGAACCCTTTTGAAAGAGAAAATAAAAATGGGGGTGGGGTGGGGGATAGGGTCAGAAAAGATTTCCAACTTTATTAATTTTTTGTTTAATATAAAAATAAATAATACATAAAACTGTTTGAAAATAATTGATACTCATTTCACTAATTGTTTCTGTTGTACAGAGTCTCAAGAGAAGGCACAGGCCGAAAAACAGGAACGGGCTCAACAGAACAGAGAGGAAGCCCGTATCCAGAAAGAGATCGATGTCGCCCACAAGGAGATGGAGAGGCTCGAGAAATACGTCAACCTTACTGCACAATAAATCTTATTTAAGCTCCCGATAATATTAATATAAACAATCTGGACAATTAATTTGAAATTTTAATTTGAAAACAATTGGAACCAAAGAGGGAACACCCGAGCTCTTTTGCTGCAAATCTTTCTTTTGGCTTTTAACGTTCTGATTTTCTTTCTTCTTTCGGCTCATGCATTTTGGGGAAGGGGGAGGGGGGTGGAATTTGAATTTCCAAAATGTTGGCCTCGGAGACAGATCTGAAGCGCTAGCATGGCGGACAAAATTGATTTTTTCAAAAACTTTCACGTCTTTCGGAACTTTCGGTCCTTTAAATACCCATTCCGTCAGTAATCAGGAATGGGTATTACCTTGGAACACCCATCCCGTCAGTGATCAGGGATGGGAGTTTCTCGTCCAAAAAATTCTAAATTGTAAATGAAACATCCATTTAGAGGTGTCCGAAAGCTCCGTTGTCCTCTCTTTTCAAAATTCTGCAGACTAACAATTTTTACAAAATTAATAAAATATATGCATATACCTTCTGTCTCTTTTTTGTTTTGTTTCCGTTTCCTTAAAGGATTGAAAGGATTGGAAATTTCAAAAGTAAAACACAAATTAAAAAATATGGTAATATCTCTTACTATAAAAACGTAAAAACATCGATGCTTGCATACAGATTGTCATATTGATATTCGGATATCCCTCCCAGTAACGTGATTATGTGTGTTTGATAAAGAAAACGGAGTCCTTCAACCACTTTGATGTTTTATGTCAGTGAAGTACCCCCCCCCCCCCCCTTCAAGCATCTTTTTAAGAAAACAAAATTATTCATCCCATGTAGTATTTAGTGTAGAGCATCCTTCCTGTGTATAGATGTACAGTGAATACATTCAATGACCATCCCTCCCTCCCTCCCCTCAAAGGAAGAAATCGTTTGATTGAATAGGACATTGCACTTTGGAAAGCGTCTGGAATCTACATGTGTATGTATTCAGGAAAACAGAAATTTGTATCTGCTGTAATTACTTTGCTGTAATTAAGGGAATCTATATATACAAGATAATCAGCTACTTTGTATTGATATTGGTGCTTAAATTTGTTTCCAAAATTGGATATTAATTTCCCCCGGGGTTTCATAAAGTTGCGAATAGCGCCCATAATTGTGTGTTTTGTGAAATGACATGGGGGTAAATACAAACATATAAGAAATAGATTTAACTATTTTTCTCTTGGATTTTCCACCATTTTACCGGTTTACATTTGCGGATGGGTGCAAAAAATCCTATAAACTATTAAATGGTATAACATTTTTAATGGAACACCCCCCCCCCCCCCCCATACACTGCAGCGCACATGAGAGTTTTATTGTGCAGTAATAGAGTGATCTGCCCTTGGAACTATCTCACGCATTCTCATCAGGCCAAGATAAATTCATTGAACATTAATTTACATGTACAAGACTAGTATTTTTCCCCCTTTAGGCCTAGATAAACAACTTCCTTTCTGGTCATCGATACATCTTTGTCTCTGAACATTTTTCCTGGGAGTAAATGGTTAGTACCGTATGTTGAAAATAAAGTAGAAAATCTCAATATCTACACCTCTATACGTCAATGGCCAATTGTCCAAATTTCAAATTCATAAGTGTATATAGAGGGTCCTTCGGCTAGAGTCCATACATAGTAAATGTAATATTTATACATTGACCTTTTCAGTTATGACCTTGAGTCAAAAATTGTGCATTTATGTGTCATTAGCAGAACACAGAACACTTAAGGATCATTCTGCCCGGTGTAAAAATATGTGTCTGTCAATTTTCTGTCACATTCTATATTTTTGAATCATAAGAAAATGAAATTGAAGTGCTTGGTCAAGACCATCTTTTAGTCAAAATTTAGATTTTTAATATCTGGATTATCTAACAAATTATTTAAAAAGTTTCAAGTTTGTATAAGATATAAATCAGTCAAATGATGAAAATTTTGTTACATTTTAACTTATTGTGCATGTATTTGATATTCTAATTTAATTCTGTTCTCAGTTATTGTCTTGGGACCAGACATCTGACCTAAGACATAGTTAGTTTTCCAAAAATGCGGTAATATCAAAATACAATGTACACTCTACATACCGTGAGAGGAAGACTGTGATATTTAGCTTTTGCGCTGTATTTCACAATTTAAAACCTTTTGATAATATCAGGGTTGATAATCTCGTGACCTCTAATCTACTTTTTACAACACAGAATAGTGTCTCCAGGTATCTTTGCCAAAAATCAGAATATAAGCGTTATATGCCCGCTTATTTAAAATTAACATATAAGTTATCAGATCATGTATAAATTGTATTGTCGAAGTTTATTCGGTACATGTATGTTCTTTTAAATCTCCATATCCTATTTCTAATATTGCTCATTAGCAATTAGTATATTATTGTGAGTTTCTGCTGTTGAAAGTGTGATATAGTGAGGATTTTTCGCAAGAGAGCGGGAGTTGCCGTGAAATAATACATTGTAAATGACTACCACTTAGTATACATGCATTTAGGCTATACTCAAGGGTTTACATGTACATATTTAGGACAAACTCTTGTTTACAAAAGAATTTACATGTACAAACAAAATTTACGATAACTACACCCTGTAGAAGACAGCAAGGCAAAAAACCGTGCACGTGGCTAAACAATGTCTTCATTCCGTTTTAGGGAAAGGGGGGGGGGCTTAAAAAAATGTAATATTTTAGGATCATGAACAGGGAATGTATCTTTTTCTAAGATTCTGCATAATATTTTATTTCTTAGGTGTAAATTTGGATCTTACAATGCTAACTAAAGTGAAATGTGGAGAAAAGAAAAGTATTCAAGCTCAGAAGACCACTCAAGCAATACAAATCAAGAGCAGAGAAAAGACGGACCTCTAAAACATCAGAGGTGGGATCAGGTGCCAGACCCGTAGGAAACAGTTTCAGTTTAGAAGGGCACAGCCATACATTTTCAGTTGGAGGGGCACTATCAACTACCAAAAATTCTTGACAAGCCAAAAAATAAAAAAGAAAAAAGAAAAAAAAAAAAAAAAAAAAAAGGTCATCAGAGGGGGCACATATGGTTGCTATGTTTTCTATAGTAATCTATATATCGGCAAAATTATTGGGGGGGCACGGCCCCCCGTGCCCCCCTCCCGGTTCCTACGGCCATGGGTGCAATGGAGGAGTGAGCATCCCCTGTCGAACGCCCACAATCGCCGTACGCTCTTTGTCATGACTGGGAAAAACGGAAAAATCCGTCGACAATTTAGTGTGTAAAGGATGGCCTAAGAATTAATATGAAAAACGTCAGTCAGCATTTGACTTAATGATAGATTGTATTTGCTGATAAGGTCATTGTATCGAATATAGAACTTGCGAAATGATGACTTTAAACGAGACTGTTGATATTCTTGTTTCATCAACTTATTTGTCATGCAATTGATAGCTTGCCTCGTTTCAGAAATTGTTCGTACGTAGAGCATGCTCTTGGCAAGCGTATCGAAGCAACTGAGACCGCACGAGACATTTGGAACGTCTAGACTGTGAGGTCACATGACGTCGTATGTTAGCTGCATTTCCATAAACGAAGTTTGAAAAGTGAAAAATTTTGACAAAGAAATTTTAATCTACTATCTGTATGCAATATCCATTAAATGATTATTTTTTGTACGGTGAGTTTATTGTGGGTCCAGAGTCAATGCGTTAAAAAATTCTTTTTTCTCTTCGCACAGCGTTGTCGTTAGAGCTCGCAGTGACGAGCGGCACTTTGCGCCTTTCGCTGCGCTCGCTATTACTACAGAAGTTAGGGAAGTTGACGATTGAAAAGTTGAAGTCATCACGTTTATCGTAAAGCTTGGTTGTTAACAATTTTTCTCTTTCGAAGTATTTGCAGTACTATCATGTTGTAAATTTTGAATTTACTGGGGAGGGGGGGGGGGGGGTAAAAGCAAAATTTGCAACATGATAATTTTGTAAATTTTGTATTTACCTCCCCCTGGTAAATTCAAAATTTCTGTTAAATTTGGATTCCTACATGTATTTTTCCATGCAGGCTGCATAGTTATTATTTTCAGTGAGATCGATATTATTTTCTGGTTTCGAGTTAGATCTCAAATTAACTATTTTGCATTTTATCATCATGTTCTGACAAATATATCAAATACATGTACATGTATATTGTGAAAGTCCAGAAAAATATTAATGACCTAAATTTTATTGAAGAAATAAACCTTTTCAATAATATCTAAGAGTTTACATCATAGACCCCCAACTTTTAATTTTCTTTTCTGAATACAAAAGATAACTCTCTTGAGACATTAAAATTATTTTATTGCTTGATAAATTTTTAATGATAGAAAAATGACATTTTGTGAGTGCAGAGAGGTCAAATATTTGATTATGCTAAGTAATTTGAATTTTTTTCTTTGCTACAATTTTATTGTGTCTATTTAAGATACAATAAAACTGTATTTGGTCCCATATTTATTTGGATAAGAAATATTGGAGGATAATTAAAGTTGGAAAACGATTTGTGTGTAAGACACAATTACAGTGCAAGAAAGTCATTAAATGCACGGTAGCTTCAAAAGAAGCATATCGACCCTCATTTTTTTTTGTTTTGAGATTTAATCAAGCTATGTATGTAGATACTAAAAATATACTTGACAAAGAATCTTAAGACCTTTGAAAGTGCGCTGGGATTCAACCTCCTTAATCCTTATAACACCCATGCAGATGCTTGAGAAGCAGTTTTTCTAAAGCGTTTTCTTTGTTTTTGTAAAAATTGCAGATATATGTTAATGTAAATGTACACTAAGTATACTCATCTAGTTAACACATCTGATTACGTGTGGTATGCATAATTCGTACAATTATTATCAAAGGGTTTCATTCTGTTTCGAAAGATTAAGCACGTGGCATCCATTCACATTTTTTTTCTTTCGCAGTAAACTTGTACAATAGCTGAGTGCAAATTAAGTCACTGGCAAAACAGCTGTTGAGAGAGACGCAATCCTAACACACATGTATGGCATCTCAGTACTTCATTATAGATATTTTCACGTCTTTAGAGAGCTACTGCCATTGAAATGCTAGACAGGATATATGTATCTCCATGCCCTCTTCACTTCCATTTCGGTTTCCACCCAGGGTCTGATTAATGATAATTATGATAAATATATTACACGGTGCCGTTAGTTTTTAATTCACGTAAATTTTTTATAATTTGTAGAAGCATCAAGAAAAATTGTTATCAAGAAAGAGTGATACTAAACTTAAATCATTAGAAAATAAATGATAAACAACGCACTTGAAATTAAAGTTGTCAGACAGCTGGCGTATCCAGATCCTCTCCAGTTAATCACAATGTGCGCAGTTTATTGATATACCGTTAGATAATTATCAGAATCTGCCTCGCACCACGGTGAGTTTAAAAAAAGTCTGCGATTACGCAGACATGCATGTTATC